AACTGCTCATTCTAGCAGCCACTTCTTACACACTATACCTATGCATTCAACTAATTTAGTTAAACATTTAAGTTAGTTCTGCATTATGAAATAACGAACTCCCCCTCTATGTTATGTTATGTAAGACAGCCTACGTGCCTGCTTGTGATGAAGTTACGCGTGTAGCACTGAAAGATGCATTGATAATATATGCTCTTATAATTTCAGGGTGACTGTCACTGAAGACTTGCTTGTTCGTACATTCGACGAGCAAGGGAAAGAAATAGTGGAAAGGGTACTGTTTTATATTACCAATTATCATTTGAGTCCGGGTATGATATGAATGATATATACAGTTTATATTTCTAGTCTCTAGTCAAGCACTGCCAGTATCAGGGCCACATACAAGGCGATCCTGAATCAATAATTGTACTTGATACTTGTGATGGACTGAGGTGAGCTTTCTTTCTAGCTTCATCCCTAGGCAATTCTTTTTTCTCTTTTGTAACGATCATCTTGGCCGCTAGGGACTAGTGACAAGAAAATAAAAAAAATAATAAGGCTCCCCTCTCTCGCTTCCATTCTCCCTCTTCTGGCTCCCCCCAAAAAGACAGGAAGCCCGTGACTCTTAGTGATTTGTCTGTGGAGGAGGCYACTTTCTGTCTTTTGAACAGTATCAAATTCCATTTGATATATACTAATCGATCAATACTAAATTAATCTATGGAAATCATGCTGTTGTATTGGATGTATTATCTATTTGCGCACACACAGAGATGACTATATTTTAATTTTTTTGTTATGCAGGGGAATGATAGAAGATGCCGAGCAGGAACTATTGATCGAACCTTTCAAATCGAAGGTAGGTACATAAAAAAAACATTTCGCACTACCCCTATTTACCCTTTGCAAGCCATATACATATCCACCACAGATCGACATCACACGTACACTCCAACCCCACCTAACAGGGTAACAATTCTTCCCTCTTCGCTTTTACTTTTTACTATTTCTTTCTAATTCCCGTCCAACTGCATCCCATCCCATCACTGCCCGAGACTGCAAACAACACTTACAGTTTCTCCGTTCCYATGAAACTTTGTTTCCAGTCCACATGCTCCTCTCCAAGCTTTCCGTCGAACCCTCACCCCGGAGGGTAGTGTTCAGTCCAGTCTCACTACCACCCCCCGTTGATTTCTAACATTTCTGGTCCCTYCATGAACTAGGGTGTCAATGCCCACAAGTTGTCAAGGATCAAGAAGCCAGAGAAGATCAATTGTGGTAGGCCTCCCTAAGCACTTCACAAATTCCTTGATTCTTTGTGACTTTCCAGTGCGTGACTAGTCTTGCATTGACTCAAAGACCGCTAATATATAATATCTCTGTTTTTCAAACTTGTTAGGTGTTGAAGGACACAATAGAAAGGGACTTTATCATAACAATGAACGAGTATGTAGCAACCATTGTAATTTTGAACTCGTTTAACCTTATAGTTTGCATTCTTTACCCTTACTCGAATACGGCTGTGACTTAG